AGGAATGGAGGAATGGACTTCCTCCTTCCTAGCCTTCTTCTGTTCTCATCGCCCTGCCTATACTTCCTGTCTGGTTGACTCGCCTATACTTCCTCTTCCTGCCTGGCCAATCTGTTTTATTAAAATACATGATTGACAGAATACAGATAATTCTCCCGCACCATTTCCCTCTTTAATGTTTCACAACTACTTGTGACTCCGGCTCTAGGAGATCCAACACCTACTTCTGGCTACTGAGGCATCCACTCATGTGTGGCATATACTCACATAGACACACAATACGTATAAATGAAAATATATCCTGAAACAACAACAAAAATTTGAGTCCCTTTACACGGATCCATATGCCAGAGTATGGAAGAAGTGCCTTCCAATGACCCCTTTGTGAGAGATACCCTCGGGTCATTCACCATCATGGAGCCGCATATTCCTGACAGTACCTGATCTCCATGCCTACCTGAAGCTGCCCAGGATGCAAAAGATGTTAATTAACCATCCAGGTTGACGTTAAGACCCCCAGAATTCAAACAGTAAAAGGAGAAAAATCTATCCCCACAAATCGTCCTCTGATCTCCACACACACACTGAAACATGTGTATACATGTACACACAAAAAATTAATTAATTAGTTAGTTAATTAAACTCTTTCACCAGACCCATGAGGGATAAAAGAGATTGAAAGGAGACAACTGGGTTGAACTAGAACGGATAACCCCATTCAGCAGTTCTGGTTCAGAAAACACTTGAGAAAGATCACAGCTCTTGAGCATGTAAGCTTGATGCTGTGACCGCTTGGCCTGGGAGATCTAACTGCGCACTATCTATGAGCAAAGGCCCCCACAGTGACCACGCAACAGTGACAGCCTTTTCCCAAGCCAAAACGACTCTTCTCTCTTTCCCAATCACCAAATCACCCCAGAAGATAAGTGATTGAGAAAATCAAAATAAGCCAGTTTACAAAATTTCTCCCGAAAGCGATGGAGGGCAAGGAAATAATTTGCAGACTTCAGAGCTTTACACAGCGAACAAGCTGATCACAGCGCATCTCCCAAGGATCAGTGTGCTGTGAAATCAAGACAAGAGCCCTTGGCTGAGTGGATAAAAAGGTTTCTGATTACAAGTGTTATGCAAACTCAATTACATTTTATTTAAACAAATTTCTGTCGGCTCCTACTGTCAAAGCATAATGAATTAAAGAAGAAATGTGACCTTATGAGTTTTTTTTTCCCCTGAAAATTATAGCCACATTTGTGCTTGTCAGATTCATAGTAGGACTGGTGGTTTGTTAACTGTGAACATATTTCCCACCGGGTTATCTCACTTAAGGAATTCCTTAGGATAATAAATGAACAAGTAATGCTGTTTCAATTCTGGCTTTATTATTGCTACCTTAGTAACTGATGCGCAGAAAAATGATATGAAGACTATTGCTATTACATAAATGCCATGAAAAGGATGATAAGAATATGTACCATGTTTCATAATTGATTTTTCAGGGGTGATATCATAAGCTGGGCAGAGTTTTCACATGTGTGATAAACTGCTTACCACGGACACCTGTTGGAAGCCTTGAGTCTCTGGCTCTAGTGTGAGCGAGTATCAGGGTCCACAACATGGGACTTTGGCAGAAGTGGCTGTTGGCCTTCCTGCATCATGCCGACCTGCCCTCCTTGTGATCTGCCTATTACACACTCATTACTTTGCAGAGGGGCCAAAGTCTGTAATTTGTCCGCTTTTTCTAGGATGGCAATTTATAAAGGTTCACACGCTGACCTTTAGGGAGTAACCTAGCTGGTCTCTCTCTCAGCAGCTGTCTGGAACGCCTTAGCACACAAAGACAAGGGCAACAGCCTAAGTAGAAGCTGTAGCAATGAAGAACAATTAACTCTCCTGTGCATTCATTAAGGTCATGAAAAAAAAAATCTTTTCCCAAAATGCAATGAGAAGAGCGATCTCTTTTGGGACACTTGTTAGTGAATTTCAGTCCTAAATGTACTGTTAGATTTGTGGCAGCTAAAACCTGAAGACCTGTCGGTCCTCCTTCCCAGTGGGCATGCAAGCATGTCGGCTTATTTGGTTGGATTCTCCACTGTACAAATGACTAGTAGCCACGGCCAAGAGGTTCAGATCTAGACTTCCTGCTATGAGCCCTGTCAGTTGGTTCCATATATGAGCCGTGGTTCCAACAGCATAGCTGCTTTCTTAGCTGTTAGTCAATCCTAGCAGGGCTACATTTCTGGGTGGAAGGCTTCTTTCTGTTCCTTCTCAACAGCGCCTTATACCTTATGCAAATTCCTTGTCTTTTTATTGCTCATAAAATAGTATTGACACCGTTTGCTTTTGTGAAGTTTAAAGGGACGCAATCACGGCCATCAAATGGCTCTAGAGGACACAAGTGGGGAGAGAGCTGGGAGTCTGAAAACATTACAATGTTTTATTGTATCATTTTTGAATTAAAATATTAGCCAGAGCTGTTGGTGCAAGTCTGTCTTCATTGTCGACTTGACTGGATTTGGAATCACCTAGGGGACACACCTCTGAACCTGTGTGTGAGACAGTTTCCAGAGAGGCTTAATTGAGGGCCACACCATGCCAAGGACCCCTGTTGTGTGACACTGTTCCTAACAATAGACAAAAGTCTAAGGTGGTGAACCAACGAAGTTTTTAGGTGGGGCAGGTTATTTACAACAACATGGCAGAGGAGCTAGTTACCAATGCAGAAACTATTCAAAGACAGCTACATCACCGAAGTCCACCCGGCATGGGTGACAGCTCAGGGAAGCTGGAAAATTAGAAAGCATCGCATCACATGCAGGCAGATCAGCGGGCTACAAAGTGTGCTGGGTAGGGGTTTTTTGTTTGTTTTTGTTTTTCATGAACTTGACACAATCTAGAGTCATCTGGGAAGAGGGAATCCCGACTAAGAAAATGCGTCTATCAACTGGCCTGTAGGCGTGTCTGTGGGACATTTTCTTCATTAATGATTAATGTGGGAGGGCCCAGCCTACCAGGAATAGTGCCCTCCCTGGGTAGGAGGTCCTGAGATGTGTTGCGGGAGTACCTTCCACTCCGTCAGCCAATAACCGCTGAAATACCAGCCCACTGGGGCGGGGTATATTTCTCTTTAAAAGAAGAGCGGCAAGCCTCACTTGGCCTCTTGGCTCTGGCGCTTGGTTCCGGCTCCTACTCCAGTGACTAGGCTCCCTTCCTGACGGTTTATGGTGTATGCAAGTTTTACTCCCCAAATAAATACCCCTTTAAAACATAACTGGTGTGGGATTGATTCGCCATTAGAGATGTATAAGAAAGAAAACTGAGCAAATCATGAGAAGCAAGCTAGTTAAAACAGTGGTCCTTAACGGTCTCTCCTTCAGTTCCTGCCTCCAGGTTCCTGCCTTGACTTCCCTTCATAGTAGACTATAATTGGAACATGTAAGACAAATAAACTCCTTGTTCCCCAAGTTGCATTTGATCATGGTGATTTACCACAGCAATAGGAAGCAAACCCGGACAGAGGGCATCTCTTTCAGGCACCTCATGTGATCTGAGCCTCTTCTAAGCAGCTTGGCTGATGTCTACTTCTGTTGGGGACTCTCTGGAAACGCTCTCAGAAGTCTTTACAGGTTACATATGCTCAGAGAGAGAGGGGGGCCTGATAAATCTGGTCTTTTTCAGGGACATCCTGAAGTTATGACATTGATCATTTTCTGAACTAAAGGAACTTCTTGCAGAATGGAGTGTTTCACTTCCCGTTAGAACACCCTGTTTTAATGAGTTTCCCTCCAAGATGGAGGCTTATTTCAAAGGAAATTGCTGCCCAATAACTAGGAACCCAGACTGAACAAAAATGGAAAAAGGAGAGAGGAAGCCGAATATCAACACTGAGTATCAGTCTCTGCTTCTAGACTATTGCAAAGTAACCGGCTGCCCCACGCTGCTGTTGTTATGACTTCCATGCCTTAATGGACTGTGTCCCACAAATTTGAACCAAAAATAAACATGGGCTTCACTAAGGTACTTGTTCAGGAATTTTTTTCACAGTATAGTAACTTACAATCTCTCAAGCTCACCAAGTCTTCAGTGTGGAGCTTTTTCACATGTGGAAGAGAAGCATGAGAATGGCCCCCACTAAACACCTTGATAAAGGCAAATGGAACCAGCTACCATTACCTGCTACAGTGGCAATGGTAACCTTTCACACATGCACATACTCACACACACACACACACACACACACACTCTCTCACATACACACACACTCACATACACACGCACATACGCTCACATACACTCACATGCAAAGGAAGGGAGGGAGAGAGAGATAGAGACAGACATACAGACAGAAAGGAAAGGAAGGAAGGAAGGAAGGAAGGAAGAAAGAAAGAAAGAAAGAAAGAATTTAGAAAGCAATTTGATAGTCATTTGAAATATTGAGTACAAGGCTATCACATGGCCTGGCTATCCCCTGCCTATGTACAAAAGCAAACCCACTCCAGCTTGAGCAGAAATAGTCTGAACAACGCTGTTCATGACAGGAAGTAAGTGGAAACAGTTCAAATGCCAGTTAACTGACTAACGGAACAATGTTCTATTGCTATTTGATAGGTTATGGTTTGACTCACAAAGGAGTGAAGTTCTGATACACATTACAACATGGGTAAAGACTGAGCACACTGTACCATAGGTAAAAAGTCAGACAGAAAATGCCATATATGATATATTTGCATTTACATTTACATTAAATGCCCAGAATAGGTAAATTCAAAAAGACATAAAATAGATTAGCAGTTTCTCAGAGTTGAAGGATTTGGGAAACACAAGTAATGACTAATGGATAAGGGCCTTTGGGATCCAGCATTGAAAGCACTCCAAAACACTGTTTCGTTGGTGATCCCAGGGTACACGAGTTCGGCGTGTGGAGTGGGGCTCTGGGGAGGGCACAGAACAGCTGTGAGGAGGACTTAAGTGGAGAAAGCGCTGGAAAACTGCATCTGGATCGCTCATCTTCTCCCACAACGAACACTATTCTCAGAAAACAATATTATCTGACCAGAAAATCCATGTTGTCTAGTAAGCGTCCTCGGGGCACCATTGACCTCTTTGCTTCTCAGGCTGTAGATGATGGGGTTCAACATGGGGGGTCACGACACAGAAGAGCACAGACACTAAGATGTCCATGTCCAGGGAGTAGCCTTCCCTGGGTCGGTCATAGTTAAAGTTGGCTGTTCCAAAGTAAACCACCACCACGGTGAGGTGGGAAGCACAGGTGGAGAAGGCCTTTCTCCGGCCCTGAGCAGAGGGAATCCTAAGGATGGCAAAGATGATGAGGACATAGGAGCCTGCAGTGAACAGGCAGGGGCTCAGGCCGATGGTGGCACTGGCCACGTGGAGCACAGACTCATTGACAGAGGTGTCTGAGCAGGAGAGCTTCAGGAGCAGCGGGATGTCACAGAGAAAGTGGCTGATCTGGTTGGGTCCACACAGGGTGAGTGTGGCTGCCAGTGCCGTGTGAGTCACGGAATTCACCACACCACACAGCCACGAGCCGGCCACCAAGCAGACACAGACGTGCGTACTCATGAGAACCGGATACATAGCTGTCATAAGCCATGGATGCCAACAGATGCTCATTGGCTGCTTCTGTCACAAGCCAAAAAGGTAAGAGAGATCTTCTTAGGACAAGGTCTTCTTTTATGGCATACCATAGTCAAGGTATTGACTAAGAAGTTCAAGTTATGAGTGAAACAACACAATGGAACGTGGAGGGAAAGGTTGACTACAGACACATTTCCCAGAAAATTTGCCAGTTAAACAAAGACCACTAAGACCAGGAAAAATGGCCCCTGTGCCTCAAGACGGCAGGAAATTATATAAGCTTAATTTAGCCATTGTTGTTTGAATCTCCATTTCTTTGAATTCTGTCTCCATTAAAGTGATAATTTGGAAGCAAACATTTAGAACAGGAAGATGTGGTGGCAAATGCTGGAAGAGCTCTCGATACTGCAGCTTGACTTTGAGAACAGGGCCATTCCTGTGGGGTCTTCTTTATTTTCACGGTCCATGTTGTCTCCAGTCCATGAGCACAGAGGAGCAGAAGTAATGACGGATATCCTTGAAAGGCCTGTGAACACAACAGAGGTAGCCTTCTGGGGTAAAACTTCAGTGAATCAGCTCAGTGTTATTCCAGAATATGGGGAATATATAGGATTGGGAAGCGTGGGGACAAAGCCTAATTTGCGTTAAGTGGCATGCTCCTATCCTAAGGCTTCCAATGTGGCAGCAGGGTCTATATTATAGCAAAGCTCCTAGTACAAATCTTAGTGTGTGCCGCAGGGAGCAAAGGCTTCTAGCAGGAAGCTGTGCCAAGGGTCAGCTAGAGATAGACCAGGTATCCAAGCTTAGAGACAGCTTTCAGATTCAGTCCTCCATGCCTGGAGACGTTCTTCCGACAAGGGCTGGTAGAGGGCAGGAAGTCTTGCTGGGGATGGAGTCCTCCATGTTGCTGAGCTTTGGAGAGAGCTGCCAGGCCATGACAGACTACAACTTCTGACCAGCAAGATCTTCCAACATATTCCTGGATTCCCTAGCTCTTGGTTTATTCTTGTATATATTATCACTGTTTATTAGCTTTTTTGGATCCTCTATAAGTATCTAAATTCTACTAGGCTAAAATTTTTTTTTTAAATTTATTTAAAATTTTTTAAATTTTACATACTAGCCCCAGTTTCCCTTCCCTCCCTTTCTTTCAACTTTACTGCCCCCATCCACTCTTCAGAGGGAGTAAGGCCACCCTTGGGAAGTCAATAAAGTCGGGTATGCCAAATTGAGGCAGGACCAAGGCTCTCCTCCCTGTATCAAGACTAAGCCTGGTACCCCACCATAGAAAATGGGCTCCAAAAAGCCAGTTCATGCACCCAGGTTAAGTCCTGGTCCCACTACCAGGAGCCCCCAAGAAATCAATAGACAAATAATTTATATTAATTCATACATGCTGTACAAACTGGTTAAAAGAAAGGAAGGAAAATGAACTCAATGGCAAGCAGAAGACCAAGTGAGCAGAAAGAAAAGGATCTTCCTTTTGACCCACTTCTTTCTGGCTGCTGCCAAAAAGTGCTACCCACCATTGGGATGGAGCCTCCCACATCTATTAAGGTGATGAAAAAAGCATTTCAGGTGATTCTAATTTATGCCAAGTTGACATAAAACCCAGAGTTATTCCTCAACTCAAATACATTTCATCCCAATCTCCTTCCAAGAGAAAAGTCACATTACCAGTTTCTGCCTTATGGACTGTGAGGTCATCACCACGACCTCCATATCCTGTGGACATGAGGTAAGAAGAGCATTTGCAGGTGTCATTAAGATTATTGATCATTGGTGCCTAGCCCAATCATCATCCAGTAGGCTTCCTCCGGCAGTTGATTGGAGCAGATGCAGAGACTCACAGCCAAACATTGAGCAGAGCTTGGGGAATCCTGTGGAAGAAGGGGAGGAAGGATTGTAGGAGCCAGAGAGGTCAAGGGTATCAGGAGAACATGGCCCACAGAATCGACTAAGCAGGGTTCACAGAGGTTCACAGGAACTGAAACAGCAATCATGGAGCCTGTAGGCCCTCTGCACACATGCTGTGGTTGTTTAACTTGGGGTGCTTCTGAGACTCCTAATAGTGAGAAGTGGGATGTCTGACTCTTTAGCCTGCTCTTGGGACCCTTTTGCTTCTACTGGGTTGCCCTATATAGCCAGCATGGATATAATGATTTATGCCTAGTCTTATTACATTTTATTATGCTTTGTTTGGTTGATAGCCTTAGGAGGGAAACAACAGAGGAACAGCGGATCTGGGGTTGGGGCTGAGATGAGGGGAGGGAGCAGAGGCTGAGGTTGGGATATATTGTATAAGAGAAGAATTAAAACAAAGATTATTAATCATATGACTTTAAAATACAGAGGTTATAGGCCTGGAGAGAGGTCTCAGTGGTTAAGAGTGTGTACTTAAAGAGACTGCAGTTCAGACCCCAGCATTCAATCTGAGTGCCTAACAGTTACCTATAACCCTGGCTTTACACTGTGATCGGACATGTTTGTTCTCCAAGGACACGTGTACTTGCGTGTACATACTTCCACACAAACATACACACGTGTCTACATAATTTAAATAATTAAAAAAATAAAATGCAGAGATTGGTTTGGATTGTTTGAGTGTAACTGTGTTAGCTACTTTTCAGTTGCTGTGGTAACATAGGACGATCAGGAGCAACTTGGGGAAGAAAAGGCATTTGGCTGATGTTTCCAAAGAGAGAAAAGTCCGCCAAGGCCGGGAGACCACGATAGGAGACAGGCATGGCTGCCAAAGCAAGAAACTGAGAGCTCACATCCTCAATCTCCAGCAAGAGGCAGAGAGCAAACTGGAAGTGGTCCAAACCTTTAAGCTCTCTGGGCCCGCCTCCAGTGACATACTTCCTGCAACAAGGTTGCACTTCCTGAGCATCCCCAACGGCAATGGGAACCACGCGCCCAAATGACAGAGTCTATGGGAACATTCCCCACTTAAATCACAGTGACCTATCTAATCAAAGGAACATTTAAAGGCAGAGATAGTTCTCCAGAGGAAGGTGAAGTCTAAGATTAAATCCACACCTAGGATTCAACATGCCGTTGCTAGCTGGAAAGGAAGGGAGCTAACCATTCAGGAAAAGGTAGCTTTTGTCACACAACAATGAGAAACTGAAGTTTTGCCAGCTTGAAGAAACTTGGAAGTGGGCTCTTCCTCAGAGAGTTTTTAAACACTCTCCCTCCCCCGTTTTCTTTTCCTTTCTTCCCAGCTCTACCACACAGAAAACAAAGAGAATATAAAAAAAACCAAATTTATACCATTCAATTTCCTATTTAGTAGCTCCATAAGCGGGGAAAGACAAGCAGGAATCTGTAACCTTCATGTAAATCAGTGATTTACAGCCATCATAGTGAGTGTGTGAGTGTGTGTATGTGTGTGAAGCATGTACATTGTACCAAAAATCATGAGTGGCGATCAGAGGGCAGCTTCTAGGAGTCAGTTCCTTCCTTCAGCTCTGGTTTTTGGCAATGAGACTCCCGTTCTTTAGCTTGGTGGCAAAGGCCTTTACCCACTGAGTCAGCCAGCCAGTCAATGTTGCCTCAGTTTAAAACAAATTTTGTAGAATTACAGCCACACCATTCCCTAACTACATCCTCTGGCTGGTTTATGTCACAATGGCAGTACTGAGCACTTAAGCAAGGGACCAAAAAGCCCACATGTAAAGCATTTGTATTCTCACCCTTTACAAAGAAAAGTCCCCCAAGTGTTTGCGTAGGTTTTGGGGGAGGGTTGTGACTTTAGCAGCACTGCTTAATCTAATTTGAATTTCAAAATCTTCACTTTGTCACTTGTTAACCTTGACCTTAAGCTATTTAATTAGCTTTGAAAGTTTGAATTTTGCCTTGTATGAGATGAAATAATGTGAGAATTACAGAGATTTTGTGAAAATTAAGTTAAGAAATAAATAACAGAGCAATGAACTATTGGGAGGTGCTCACTTGGGAAACACAGATTGTCCTAGGGTTTCTATTGCTACAAGGAAATAGCATGACCAAAAGGCAGGATGGAAAGGAACGGGTTTACTTTGGCTTACACTTCCACATCATGTTCATCATCAAAGGAAGCCAGAATACAAACTCAAGCAGGACAGGAACCTGGAGGCAGGAGTTGATGCAGAGGCCATGGAGAGGTGCTGCTTACTGGCTTGCTCCTCATGGCTTGCTCAACCTGCTTTCTTATAGAACTTAAGAAAATGCCTTTCAGATAGACCTTAAGGAGTCATTTTCTCAATAGAGGTTCCGTCCTTTTGGATAATCTAGCCTGTGTCAAGCTGACACAAAACTAGCCAGCATGCACACTGTCTCCCTATTCTGCCCATGCTCCACTCTAAGCTTCCTGTGAGATGTTCTTTCTCCAGCTTAAATCATTACTACTTCTGTCACCCCTTCCAGCTCCACCAGAAGCAATAGTACATAATTAAATTCACACATTTTTCCTTTTCATAAAACAAATATTCATGAACAACCCTTACCTTTTATCGTCTGTCATGGTTACACATTCTGAGCATATTGTTATATGATTCCAGTAAGGAAGGAAGGAAGGTAGATTTCATCACTGACATGTTTTCCATAATATGATTTCCTCTAAAAAATGGAAATATGACTCTGCAAGTCACGCTATAAAATGTTTAATAAAATTAGGGCGAGTGCCTCTACATTTCCTCTCACAACATGCTCTCTCAGTTGGAAGCCTGAGATTGACATTTTCTGGTTCATTTCTCTCTTCCTCTGCTTGTGTCTAAATCTTCAGCAAATGTTGTTGATTCACCCTTTCAAATATACTTCGATTTATGAGTTTATTTCTATTCCTGTGATCAAACATAAATAGAATTTACAGGCTATATCCTTTTCATTCTTTAAGTCTCAGCTTGAAGATCACTTCTTTGAGACTTTAAAGTTGCATTACATAGGGTCACATGAGGTCACATCCATGCAAGTGTACAATGTACTGTAAGCCTTCCCATCCTTCTCTTCTCCTCTCT